GCTCCGACATGGAAGATGGACCTTCTAACAATGCGAGTTGCTTCCGAAGGCTGACCGAGTGTTTCCTCAGCCCCAGTAAGTGGTCCGGCCCCACGTTCCCAGCGGCCCGGGCGGTTTCTCGCTTGGTGGGATCGAATTAGGGCCTTGGATCGTGGTGTGGGGAAGCAACTGTTGTTGTGGTGGGTGGCCTGCCAGGTGTGTGTGCACCCAGCAGAGACCGGCCAGTGGGCCCCAGAAAGCTGGTGGCACCTCCGGGACGTTCGGGACCGCCCGTCAGCGTAGGGACACCGGGCTTTCCCAAGCCCCGCGTGAGCGCAGAGGAAGGGTGACCCGGAGGGTGTTGGGAACCAGACATTTAGAAACTAACCTGTTTCCCTAGATCTGTCCCTGGCCATACTGACCTGGTCCATTATTTATACCATTAAGTTTGTCACCGATTATCCCATGATTCTCTCCAGCCTGTGACCACTAGACTGGAGTACTTCCACTGAGGGTCCCGGGGATCTAAACCATTGGATTCCTGAGGCTGCTGTGGGGGCAGGCTCGGGAACCTGAGGCTTCCAAATGTAAGGGAAGACTGTGCCCGCGTCTGCAGTGGCCGTGTTCTGGCGCATGGACGGGTGGTATAGAACTGGATTCACCCACCCTCGTGAAGAGGAGGCAGACCCCCCCAGCCCACCTCATGCAGATTCTTGGTAGCTGGTGATGTTTGGGTGGGTAAAGAAAGCAGAGGAACAATGGGGCATTAGTATGGGAGAGACACCTCTGGTTCGCTGGGACCCACGGGTTAGCATGACCATTCTGTCTCTCCACTCCTGGGCGCGGGGTTGAAAACCTGCTGGGGAAGGAGCAGCAGAAGGCGTGTCATGGGGAGGTGGGGAGGGGGGGCACAACAAGATTGATCAGAGAAGTCAAGGCACTGCTTCCCTGGAAGGAAGAAGGCAGGCAGGAGATGTTGAGGGAAGAAGCTGCTCCAGATGCGCAGAGGAAGGAGTCGCTGCTGTTGTGGATGGAGGGTGAGCAGGGTGAGGACCAGAATACTGGCTCGGGAGGGGGACCAGATGGGACCGGGTGGGAGAGTCTGTGCTCTGAGAGGGCACATCCATGGGAAATTGGAAGACTCTGGCATCCACTGGGCCCTGAGTGTAGATTTGGTGCCACAGTCCACCGCGTGCGCACCCGAGCCTTTGTCTGCATCTCGCTGGAAAGCCGCGCTTTTGCCTTGCTTTTTTTCAGGCAGACTCTCCGCCAGGTTGCAAATTAGCTTTCTTGCTACTGCTTCCAAGTATCACTCAATCCTTGACCAGGGAGGAACTCGGCTCTGGGACATGGGATGATGCCTGGGTTGAGACCCTTCTCAGCACCAGAGCTGGTCTAGGTGCACGCCCAGGAGCTCTTAGGATACAGCCACCAGGAGGCTGATTATGTTCCCTCCAGGACCGGGTTGACGCCTGCAATCCTGCTTCCCGGCCCTGGGCCAGTTCATGGTGGCCACATGGCCCAATGACCACTCATACATCTGCAGGCAGTGTTCAGCAAATTGCTGCTTAGACTTGCTAGTTAACTGGATTGCCTTAAAGGGTGTGGACTCTGCTCCCAGCTGACCTGTAGTTCTGAGGCTTCTCTAGGGTGTCTGCCTCCGCAGCCCCATCCTGTGTTTTTGTGATTTCTAGGGCACTGTGCTTTGAGCATTTATGTATAAGCTTGTACTCTCCCCATTGGATTGTGGTCAGGAGAGACTAACTACACTTCCCAAAAGGGATGGCCCTATGGATTGGCCCTGGATTGGAGGGGTGGGAGAAGGTGGGACCCATAGACTCCCTTAGGTTTTTGGAATAAACCTAAGGTCTTGCCCTGGGTCTTCTTCCTGATGTACATTTCAAATTTTTTTTTTTACTTTACAAAATAAATATCTTTTCTCTTTTGGCAACTGGAGTGCACATGTGTGTGTTTAGGCATGTTCAAGTAGGCCACTGTACTTGACAGTGCCAAGTGGTGTGTGAGGGGGATTTTGGCTAGAACACTTTTTTTTTTTTTTTTTTTTTGAGGTTAGCGTTTGCCTTTGTGTGTATCTGAAGATGCTGTCTTTGTCTGGGGGTAGGGCTGGCATTGCCATAGAAATTATGGTTCTGAATTAAGATGAGCTGCTCCAGAGAGATCTGAATTATCTTGAGTATTATAGGGTACCCTATCTTGGTGTGGGGGGTTGTTTTTCCAGGGATCTACTCTGTACATGGTTCCAACCAGGATAGCCAACCCTGGTATGGCACTTTGCTCACTCACTCTTGTCCCCAAGAACAGGCTGGGTGTTCATAGAAGCATGAGGCTCCTGCCTGTGGCTTTGTATGGGATACTGCTAGGGTATTTGTAAATAGCCTGACTCAAAAGTAGAAGAGGAGGTTGATGTTCAAGGGAAAGCTGCTCTCTGCCCTTCTGTCCCCTGCACCACACACTTTTAGGGCTCCTGTTTCTGTCTGTGGCCAAAGAACAGGCCACCTGGGTCTTAGTTGCTGAAGTATCTGAAACTTGGCAGTTTTCTGGGGGGGAAAAAAAGGGCTTTTTGGAAAGAGCTTGTGTGTTCTCTGAGAATGTGAAAATACACAAAGGTATTCAGATGTGTCCCTGTGGAGTTTGTATCTGTTTTTTCTTTCACTTTGATCTCTTTGTCAGCCAAACAAACTGTCATGTACGGGCTGCTGAGCCCAGCTGCTACTTGGACAAGTACACATTGCAATTCTCTTGTCTGAAAGCAAACCCCCTGTGGAAGGTACAATAGCCCAGTTCTGTTCCTGTCTGTTTTGTTCTTCATTTTGGTTCATCTGATCGTGCACTAAGTAGACACTTGTCTGAACCCAACACCATGTGTCAGTCCCTCTCATTCAAGCATCTGGAAGCCACAGACCTGTCCTGGGCTAATAGGCCAGGGTGACAAGCAGCCTCCCAAGCAGGAGTTTGGCTCATTGTGGATGCTCAGTGCTCCAAGTGGTCTTCCTGTCTGATGCTATTGCTCTGTCTGAATCAGGCCATTCCTGATTTCACATCATTTCCTGTCCTCTGCTGACTTCTTGACCTCTGCTTCTCCTTTTACTGCTGGAAAAGCTGCTGGTTGAGTAGGAAAATCTTGTCCATGGTGAGATAACAGTTGTCCCAAAGGGTCCTTACAGTTCGTTTTGCATGGGTGTGTGGTGTGGTGGTGTCACACTGACAGGCCAAGAGGAATCGCAGTCAGCTTGCTGAAACAAATACAGGTTGCCTGTGCTACCTAATCAGTATTGTGGCTGCATGGTGGCATGGCTGGAGGAGGCATTGCCTGGGAAGAGTGGGAGACACACCTGTGGAAAGGAATAAGAATCTGAAGCCACAAATACCTCCTGCCCACAAACGTCTCTGCATGCCATTTTGCCAGTTAGCTGCTATGAAGAACAGAGAGAACCCCATGCAAAGTGGAGAAGGGGGATGTATAAGGGAGCACAAGGGAGGCAAGGGAAATAAGACCAGAAAAGTTCGTCAGTGCGGAGCGCAAATGCCTTCCCACTGTAAATTACTATGTGTTTCTCAGATATTCCAAACAGCAAGTGTACATTTGCATGACTTGTGAGCCTGTCTCTTGCCACTCTTAAACTGTCTCCTGGGGTGTGAGGACTGTGTGGCGGACGCTAGGATATACTGAGATAAATATGATCCCTGTAAAGGCAAATGCACTCAGCACTCTAGACAACAGCAGACTTCACAGTTAGGGTGTTCTTATCAGCTCCATGAAGCTGATGCTGCAGAGGGAAACCAAGCTCAGGGCCCAGCACCACACTCTCGTGGGTCTAGATAAGCCAAGGTCCCATCTACAGATTGTCTACACATGGTTTACAGGGTAACCGTATGTAGGATATCCCCAAAGACATGGTATACAGACATGGGTGCCCCAGCAGGTAACCCGAATGGCAAGCTGTGAATTCCTGTCAGGCTGGGTGTGGGCAGTGAGCATCATCAGCTATCTGTGGAGGGCTGAGCTGGTTTTTGGCTGGGTCAGCAGTCCAAAGGGCAAAGCTATTTAAACTGGGTGTTGTTATGCTATTTAGATTATTAATATGTAACCCCAAGAAATCCTACTTTTAATTTGAAATAAACCTATGTAGACAGAGGACACTCCTAATAGTTTAGATGAAAAGAACTAGAATGTTAAAAGACAGGCCTTCTATCTCAAATCGATACATTGGTCTCTGGGGGATTTTTGCACCCGAAACATTTTGTGCCCTAGAATAAAGAGGAACATGTTGATTTTCAGGCAGGTTAGCCTTGTGTGGGGAACGCTTTACCAGTTAGCACAGTTGCCACCCTGCTCATTTTAAAATTAACCTGTGCCACTGGGGAGATTCTTCCTTCAAGTCTGTCTGAAGGAAAACTCCAGGGGCAGGAAATCTATAGCTGTGGTAAAGGGCAGAGCAGGCAACCAGCATGTTCCTTGAACATCTATTACAGCTCTGCCTTCACTCCTGGTGACTGGCTTACTTTCTAGAAGGCAGCTGCAGTGGACTGTGTTCAGGGACTTGTCTATGTTCTGGTGCTGAGGGAAAGGCAATGGTGGACCCATGAGGAAGGTACATAATCTCTTGTGTGAAGAAGTTCAAGGTGCCCACAAAGCAGAGCCATGTATAGGGAAAGAGGTATGGCCCCCAAGTGGAACCTGGCATGCTAGGTCTTGTGCCCAGAGTTTACCCTGAGCTCTAGTGGCCCAGCAAGTGTGTTCCACAGAAGCAGACCTCACAGGGCCTGCAGCTCCAAGAGAGGGTGGGGTTTATGCTCCTGTGTTCCCAGAAGGGCTGGAAGGAGACTCAGGAGGAGGCCAGAGCAGACCCCATCTCGGAAGACCCACTGGATGATTTATAGGATGCCAGGCCTAAGTCTCAAGGGAGTGGGGGATGGAGTTGGCCTGGCAGAATCCCAAGGAAAACCTTTTGAGTAAAGACAGCACCTTTAGAAGTCATAGACAGATCCTAGCCATCGAAGGGGAAGGAGTTCAGGTCTGTGCTAAGGCCTCCTTGTAAGGGACAGTCCTCTGACAGATGTAAAGGAAGGCCAGC